ATTTTCCATAGCTCTGTGCGGTCAATACTGTCGTATGCCGCCTTAAAGTCGATGAACAAATGATGCGTTAGGACCTGGTATTCACGGCATTTCTGGAGGATTTGCCGTACGGTGAAGATCTGGTCCGTTGTCGATCGGCCGTCAATGAAGCCGGCTTGATAACTTCCAACGAACTCGGTCATTTTAGGTGATAGACGACGGAAGATGATCTGGGATAGCACTTTGTAGGCGGCATTCAAAATGGTGATCGCTCTGAAGTTCTCACATTCCACATGGCTAGAGATGAACTAGCCTATGGCTAAAAATCTCTTTAATAAAGCCTTAAAAAAAACATTCCAAATGGTCGCCTTTCTTGTGAATGGGGCAGATTACTCCCTCCTTCCACTCCTCCGGTAGCTTTTCTATTTCCCAGATCCTGACTATCATCCGGTGCAGGTAGGTGGCCAACTTTTCTGGACCCATCTTGATGAGTTCGGCTGCGATACCATCCTTACCAGCTGCTTTGTTGTTTTTGAGCTGCTGAATGGAGTCCTCAACTTCCCTCAGCGTGGGAGTTGGGTCAGTTCTGTCCTCTGCTGCACTGACGTAATCGTTTCCTCCATTGCACTGGTCTCCCGTGCCTACGTTCTCCTCGCCATTCAGGTGCGCATCGAAGTGCTGCTTCCACCTTTCAATCACCTCACATCCGTCCGTCAAGAGGCTCCCGTCCTTATCCTTGTACATTTCGGCTCGCGGCACGAAGCCGTTGCGGGATGCGTTGAGCTTCTGGTAGAACTTCCGTGTTTCTTGGGAACGGCACAGCAGTTCCATTTCCTCGCACTCCGCTTCTTCCAGGCGGCGTTTTTTTCTCCCGAAAGATGCGGGTCTGCTGTTTCCGCTTCTGTTTATACCGTTCCACGTTCTGCCGGGTTCCATGCTGCAGCATTACCGCCCACGCTGCGTTCTTCTCCTCCAAAATCGCTCTGCACTCCTCGTCGAGCTATTCATTCCGTCGACTTCTTTCCACGTACCCGATGATGCTCTCGGCTGCGTCGGTGATGACTGCTTTTACTGTACTCCAGCAGTCCTCTAGAGGGGGCACATCAAGCTCGCCCTTCTCTGGCAACGATGCCTCGAGATTCTGCGCGTATGCTAAGGCGACATCCGGTTGCTTCAGTCGCTCTAGGTTGTACCGTGGCGGGCGTCGGTACCGTACATTGTTGATGACGGAAAGTTTTGGGCGCAGTTTGACCATCACCAGATAGTGGTCAGAGTCGATGTTAGCGCCACGATAGGTCCTGACGTCGATAATGTCGGAGAAGTGCCGTCCATCAATCAGAACGTGGTCGATTTGCGATTCCCTCTGCTGTGGTGATCTCCAGGTTATTGTGTGGCTGTTAGAGATTATTTATTTTCCATCCGGTTTGTTTCGAGTTAAGTACTTGATAATAAAATAAATGTGTGCTATCGATTTTTTATGTTACCGGTTGCCCGGTATGACCTCTAGCGCGCTGATCTATTTTTCTGTTGCTGCGATGAGCAACGTCTTTGTGTAGTGTTAAAGAAGAAAATCCGAAAACACATGACCTTGATTATGCGTGGAGTGTGTTCTTTTGTCGATGCGAGCTAGAAGAGCGTTATCAGTGATTGCGGTGGTTCAAGGAACATTAAATAAAGCATTTTCGAAAACATGACGCTGCAAAGTCACTAGGCCAATCGGGTGAGATCTTTTCATGTTATCTATTTAGATTCCATTTGTGTCACTGATTTATAAAATGCTCTATATTGACAAATAGAGCTTCCAAATCATTCACCCTCCCACTAACACAACTCTTTCCGTCCTGTGACACCTATGAAGGTAGTATGGGTTCCCTGCACCTTCTTAAGTAGATGTTGAATTAACTTTCCCTCCCGTCCCCTGCGATTGTAAGGATGTGGCCAGGTGTATAATGCGATGCTTGTTTTGTAGATTTTATGTTTGTGGGAGGCGGCGAAATCGATGAGTTATAGGCCGTTCCAGTTCGTCAGCTGGTGGGCGCTGAACTTTCCAATCGTCGGTCTGAATTCCTCCTCCTGGCCTACCTGAGCGTTTAGGTCTCCTATGATGATCTTGACGTCGTGGCTTGGGCAGCGATCGTACTTGCAGTCGAGCTGCGCGTAAAATGCGTCCTTGTCATCATCAGTGCTTCCGGAGTGAGGGCTGTGCACGTTGATTATGCTAAAGTTGAAGAATCGGCCCTTGATCCTCAACCTGCACATTCTTTCGTCGATCGGCCACCAACCGATCACGCGCTTCTGCATTTCGCCCATCACGATGAAAGCTGTGCCCAGCTCGTGTGTGTTGCCGCAACTCTGGTAGATGGTATGATTACCTCTGAACGTTCGCACCATGGATCCTATCCAACACACCTCCTGCAGCGCTACGATGCCGAATCCGCGGTCCTTCAGTAGATTGGCGAGTATTCGGGTGCTCCCGATGAAATTGAGAGATCGACAGTTCCACGTGCCGAGTTTCCAATCGCAAGTCCTATTTCGTCGCTGGGGTCGTTGCCGTTGGTCTCGGTTCGTATTCCTCTGTTGCTGATTTTCCGTTGCAATGCTTTTTTTACGGCTGGCTCACAGGGCCTCACACCGTGGTTCGTGCTCGTGGTTCATATCTTATCTTAATACGAACCGTTCGCTTTGCGTTAAGCTTGGAGCTTCTCATTCTGAAGTGTTCACGAATGTTTCCGGCGTTCCTTAAGGAAGTAATCTGGGACCCCTTCTGTTTTCGCTTTTCGTCAACGAGCTTTCGTGTCTACTGCCACCTGGATGCCGGCTATTCTACGCTGACGATGTCAAAATGTAAATGGTTATCAATTGCATCGCTGATTGTGAGGAGTTGCAGCTGATTATGGATCGTATGCAGAGTTTGTGCTCCCGTAATTTCTTGACGCTTAGCATCAACAACCCAAGTAACAATTTTTGTTTTATGAGGGTTCTGTAGACAATAATGTAGACTTGTAGAATGCTATAAAACCTCTATGAAGCTTGCAATGTTACTTGGGAAGTGCAATGTGATATCATTTCAACGCAAACAAAACCCGATAATATTTGATTATTCCATTTCCGGGCAAACATTAGAGAGGATTAGCTAGGTCAAAGATTTTGGAGTAACACTTGACTGTGAATTGACCTTCAAACATCATTACAATGACATCCTGGCTAAAGCTAACAGGTAGCATGGCTTTATGTTCAAAATATCTGAAGACTTTCGCGATCCGCTTTGCCTGCGGGCGCTGTATTGTTCGGTAGTACGTTCAATCTTAGAGTATACTGCTGTCGTCTGGTGGCCATACCAAGCATGCCAGATTTGAGAGTGTACAGAGAAAGTTTGTTCGCTACGCGCTTCGTCATCTGCCTTGTCGTGACACGGCTAACTTGTCGTCTTACGTGGATCGCTGTCATCTGCTTGAAATTGACACCTTGGGACAAAGAAGACGGAACGCTCAGTGTTTGCTGCTAAGATCATTACCAGCGAGATTGATTCCCCCGAATTACTTCGGCAGCTTTTCTTTTACGCACCTGAGAGAGTGATTAGACAGCGTAATTTTGTACATCTCGCAGCTCGTAATCGGCAATTTGGGTTGAATGAACCTATCCGAGCCGTCGCTAATGTGTTTAATGACGTATATGCATTGTTTGACTTTAATGTGCCGTTAAGTGTTTTTATTAGAAGACTGTCCTGAATTAGAACGTGTCCTGTTTTTGTTTTAATTGAACTTTTTAATTCATTAAGACAACCATATGTCAGATGAATCATTGGAACAATAAATAAATAAATAAATAAATAAATAAATAAATAATTTAAATAGATTGAAAGTTCCGCTAGAGTACGGTAGTGTGAAAATTTAACAGAAGCTGCAATTGAGCGAAGGGCCGATGATGCGCGAAAAAACTAATCAAACGCGCACTCCTAACTCATACATTGATGGTTGAGGGAAGGTCCCCAAATCCACAGACAAAAGAGTGCGCGTTTGACTTGCTCATATATTGTTCTAGCGAGGGTTATCACTACCTAAAGCGCCAAGTTGCCAAAAGTATTTCCAGCAAATATTGATTCGCTTCTTTAGTCATGACCAACGTAGTCATCTCAGAGAGAAGTAGTAGTGTGGTGTTTCGCACTTTTTTTTATCTCGATTTGTTTCCGTCGATCTTGTTTTCCGTGCTGAGCACCAATGCTACTGACGCCAGGAAGGCAGCTTCCACATCTGGACCCTACCTATCGACCCATGAACTCATGAACCGGAAACCAACGGCTTGATTAGAGTAGTTGTTATGCCTCAGAACATCCCAGCGGCGTCAACTGGGATTGAACCCAGGCCTGCTGGGGTGAGAGGTAATCACGCTTACCACTACACCACCGGCGCCGCTTGTTGTTTCGCACTGTTCCATCATCAGCATTGTTGACGGTTATTCCCGCCTTGAGATGATATTGCGTTTGGAGGGTGCAAGAGGGCCATTTTTCGATTGTCGTAAAACTCAAACTTGCCGAATAACGATTATGCGTCATCTTGCAGGTCCGATTTAGCTCATATTTTGCACAGGATCATTTTTCGATGTAATAAATAATTGGTTGTTTTTGAAAATTTTAGGGTCACTTTTTACCATAAAGATCGCTGACGTTTATCGTACGCACACTACGTCACGTATACGTATACGCAAAATGTTTTCATCGGAAAAAAACTTCATAGCGAAACATTTTCTCGATGGAAACAAATCACTGACACAATCACAATCATACTTTAGCAATATCTATACATTCATTGACACCCCTAGACTCAAGGGATCACACTTAAGGCAAATAAGGTTAGATTTTCCTTTCCTCTAAAATTTTCCATTTTGTAGCACAGTGTTATATTTGTTATCTATGACTGTCAGTTCCTTTCCACTGAGTATATTTCTTAAAACTGAAACATCATACATCATATAAAATCATTCGACCGTATACAAAAATCAAACTTTTTTTTTCTTGTTCACAGGAAGTTATCTATCTATCGATGGCAAATAACCGCATGAATATGCTTCCATTGGATAGTTTAGGAAGATTCAATCGTGTGGAATACTTGTCTCTCATGAAAAATCCTTTCAGAGAATTCTCTCCTGACCTTGGTAAGAACCTTCAATATCAACCTTCCAAAAAGTTCTCAACACATTTCTTACTTCTAGAGGTCCGTCCCATGATGCCCCATCTAGCTTCGCTGATTGCACTGGATATGCGATATTGTCGGTTGCAAGTTCTTCCGCCGAACTTTTTCCATGATCTTCCCAGATTGGAATACCTATTCCTATCGCACAATTACATTTCCAATCTTCCAGCATCGCTATTCTACTCGCTTGGCAGACTGGTTCATTTGGATTTGTCCCACATGGATAGCAATTCACATAGAGAAGAAGAAGCACGAATGGACAACCCCTTCATGAGGCTGATTGCTGGCATGGATATGGATTCACATATTTTCGAACCGATGAAAAAGTTGAGATTTCTGGACTTGTCGTTTAGTAAGCTTGACTTAAAGGCCTTCATGGCGATGAGCTCCTTGGGGGAAAAACTAGAATATGTAAGCTATTGCTACACCGATCTCCCAACGCTGATGGATTACTTGTTTGTAATGAAAAGTATCAAGATGTTGGATCTTTCCGGAAATGTTGGATGCGCGAGGGCATTAGATGCTGATAGCTTCCAGCTGCTCAGAGGTAGTTTGGAAGTACTGTTCTTCAAAGATGCGAGTATTACCCAGCTGGACTGGCTAACCGGTATGCGGAAACTACGTGTGATAAATCTACGCGGAAATTTTTTGTCTTCGTTGGAGGGTGCACCTTTGTCAGATTTGATTACTTTGGAGTCGTTTGATGCTAGTCGTAATTTCATTCAATCGTGGTCACACCAAATCTTCCAGCTTAATTACAATATTAAATTACTGAACTTAAGGAACAACAATCTGCTGATGATAACGAGTGGCATGTTAAGGGATTTTGAAATATTGAAATTCATAGCCATCGGTGGCAACCAACTGCAGTGCACGTGCAATTTTGTGTTTTTGCTCCACATGGTGTTTGGAAATAGTTCGGATCAGATTCAAAATGAAAACAGTGTTTTGGAGGTGACTACAGTGCAGCCAATTTATGCCGTTGCACATGTGAACTTGTATGATTATAGTGAAGAGGATTACCTTTGCATGAATTTTACTAGCAAAAAAAAGTTAAATACCATCAATCTGCCCATTTGCGGAAGTGAAGACGAGGGAACTTATTCGAATGTTAGTGAAGGAAATATTCCTGAATCGGTGGAAGATATAATTGAAGAGTACGTTGTGATCTACATTGTGGCGAGTGTGTTGGTAACGTTGGCACTTGTAATAGCGTTCATGATCTATAGAAATTGGTTTTATATAAAGTATTTCTTTGTACTGCTGAAAAATTCTGCGATTCTAAGTTTTTTCGACGATGATAAAGTATATCTGGACAAAAGTTGTTCTGAAGAAAATGATTCTTATCAGTATGACGTGTTTGTGAGCTACAGCGATAACGACAGGGCTTGGGTTTTAGATGAAATGTTGCCCAATTTGGAGCAGGAGGATTTAATCACAGTTTGCTTACATGAGAGAGATTTTGAGGTAATTAAAATGATGGTATTAATTTGTCTTATTACGCACTTATGAATTTTTTTGTAGGTAGGATACGGAATTTTGGAGAACATCATCTCCTGTATGGACCGTTCACGTTGCCTAATGCTAATAGTTTCGGAATCATTCCTACTGAGTCGGTGGTGTCAATTTGAGATGCACCTGGCACAACATCGGTAAGTAATGTGTTGCTATGCTTGACATCATACCCAAAGGGCCGTTTTGCAATCACAGCTGGTTTCCTTGTGACAAAACCGATTGATGATACTGATAATGGAATATGCATACTATGAACATTTAAAACAAAATTGTACAAAAATCAAGGCTCACAAAACATATTCGCTTTTGTCCTCATCAATTCAGTCTTAAATCAGTTTTGTGTGTGAACCTAGTTTATTGAAAAATTGAGTTTTACAAAAAAAAAATCTTATTCATGGTAATAATTTGAAGAAATACTTATATCTCTGATGAAGTTCCAAAACGGGATCGAAACGTTGAAGCGAGATAAATAATTCGTTTAATCTATATAAGACTGCAAAACCACAAGACGAAAATATAAAGCCATAATTTTCAAAAGCAACAATACTGCATTCCTGAACTTGTAGATGCTAGGTGACTGACAATACCCTTTCCTGTTGTCGTCAGGGGGTAAATAAAGTTACCCGCTCAAATTTGGTCAATCTAAATTGGCCCAAATACGCAATCAAGCTGGACAAAATTGATAACTCATTGGGGTGAGGTCATAGCAATTTGATGTCTTGGGCAAAGTTGCTCAGCTATACAAGGCCTACTTTGTGAATGGAAATGTCAGTACAGTGGATTCATGATACATCAGTTCTGTTTTGTATCATTAGAACTAAGCATTTTATAGACATTAAAATTGTTAAAGCAATTTAAAGTCGAGTTTTAGTTGATTTTGTAAAATTTCAGCTAAAATTTAAGTTTAACATGTTTTATTTATTGTTTTCTTCCACAAGAAATGTTTTAATATTTTTTTCCTGGAAATATATATATCCAAACTAAAGATTGCTCATATTTTTGGCAAAGATTTTTAATCTACAGTCGAAAATTGTTCAAATATTTAGGATTTTCAAATTAATAAATGTCTTAAAAGTACAAGTTAGCGCAAAATTAAATGATTGCATTCAAAAGCAAATTATTAGGCCTAATTTTGTAAAAAAAAAATCAGTAGTATCTGCTGGAACTTTTTTTTTCTGTGGCTGTTTATGTAAATGAACTTCTTTCATGATTTTCAACATTTTCTTCAAACTGGGAGGTCAGAACCAGCTTATTTCTTAGAAACAGTTCTGTGCATATACATCAGCGAAAAATATAGACTGACAAGGTTGTTGATAAAAATATCGAAACAGAAGAAGAAAAAGAAAAACAGTTTATTTTATTTTTTATTTATTTTTGTTTCTTTATTTAAGAGGTTTTCAGCCTAACGGCTGGTTCGCCTCTAAATTTTAATAATTTCTTTTTGATTTCTTGATAAAAATAACACGGAAACAGTAGGCTTCGGAATCCCAGAAAAAAAGTTCATGTTTGGTACACCCTATGTGGAGGAGTTTGAACTGTTTGTTGATGTCAAATTGAATATGAAATCAACAGCGTTGTTAATCGTTAACCGTCGATAACGTCAGCGGTAACGTCTGCAATGGTGAATTAACGCAGACTCTATCGACGGTTATCGATTAGCAACCCTGGAAATTAAGCTTTTTAATACTAAACGAGGAAGGTACTTGTCACCGGTAGGTGGGTTTATTAGGATTTTTCGGATTTAACTCTGGTTTAGTTAATAGGAATTTCAACATTTTTTTCAAGATTTATCTAAAGTATTTCTCAATTTATTGTAATTACATCACAGATAATAATAATTGTAGTTGGCAAGCCGTGGTGAATTCATGGAATGGGTCATATGATATTCTTCCTATGATCTATTCTATTTTACTGTTCGTCCGAACTGGTTTAAATTATTATTTTTGCAAAAAACGTTGAACACTTAGGTGCCTGAATTTTTTCGACCTAAAACAACTATATTACTATTATTTCACCAGCTCTCAACAAATTTCTTAGCAGCATTTTTCAGTAGATCAGTGATTGATTTTAACTTACATTTGTAAAAAGTGTGGGTATCATACATGTTTAAATTTTAATTTATTTAATAATGTTGTTTCTTAAACCACTACTTGTTTAATAAAAAAACATAATAAAATTTCACTGAAACTTCAAACATTTCAAAGCAGATATGATTAGTGAGCTATTAAAATTTGTTTCATCTAAATCCTTTGAGAACTGATGAAATGGTAGCAATTTCATTATTGTTTGCCGAAAAAGTTCAGGCACGTAAGTGTATATGAGAGTGCCTGTACTAGTAGAGTGAAAACATGTCAAAATTGGAACAGCCGATTATCTGCCAACGGCTTGATAAACGTTATTCCAATCAAGCAGAAGACCTGTTAAACGGCTGACATACCTTCATTCTCCCTACTGGCACTCTAGCTGTAGGGCTATAGTGTAGAGCTCTTTTTAAAAACTGATCTAAAACGTCTCTTAAAAATCAAACTTAACTTCTCAATTAATTGCAGGCTTCTGGAGACGCGTCGTGACGAGCTTATTTTGGTACTGCTGGAAGATATCCCTAGGCGCAAGTGTCCGAAGACGCTTAGTTATCTGATGAAGACAAAAACCTACATCCAGTGGCCGCGACAACAAACGCGTGACCGAGAGCTTTTCTGGAAGCGTTTGCGCAAAGCTCTCATGACGACTAGGTGCTGAATAGCTATCGGAAGCTTTATCAATGTATGTGAGCTGTGGTGAAGATGGGCAGTATACGGTTAGGGGAATTTTCGATACTCGATTATTTTCTGCATAGATTTGGATTTTTAAATAATGTGATTGATTATATGTGACTGAATAGTGAAGCATTTATTAACTGAATAGTCAATAAAGCTCATATTAAAAGGAATTTCTTGCACTGAATCTAGATTTTTTAGTTGCTATAGTAGTAGTAGGGAGTGTAACCGGTAGAAGCGGTGTATCCTCCATATCTCCCATAAGCGTTTCCGTAACCTGCACCCGTCGTGTATGGATACCTGTTGCTTTGACTGTATCCACGATATCCGTTGTTGTATCCTGTGTATGCACCAGTATATGCACTTTGTAATCCTCCGGTGTACCCAGTAGATGAACCTGAAGAATACTCACTTGGGTACCCACTTGTATACCCGCTGTTCAACCCCCCAGTATATCCACTACTTAATCCTCCGGCATATCCACTGGTCAATCCTCCATTGTATACAAGTGGATAACTACTGGGCGATCCACTGTAACTACCGTATCCACTAGATCCACTATATCCACTATATCCATCGTATCCCAGATGCCGTCCGTACCGAGATCCAGGGGATCCTCCAATTTGGTAAGATGTTGCTGCGTTTTGCAGATCATCCGATGAACTGCGCTTTTGAGCAGATTGTGGTGAGGCTTGCTTGGTCGGAAGGGCGGATGCAACGGCCAAAGCAGCTACGAGGATGGTTAATTCCTGCAATTCAAAGAATGCTCTATATATATTTGATGTAAGCATTTTGAAACTGGGTGGATTTGCACATCTGCCGAACTACTCTCTCGGAACTGCATCAAAGCACTTTTGTTCATAAGATTTTATTTTAAGGTATTTCATTTATGGACTATGTTCTATTAGCACTGATTAGCACATGCTAAATCATTCACTTGGTACATACCTTACACATTTTGGGATCTGTAGATAACTTCTCTGTACAAGCACTTGTAGACTAGTCAACACTTGAAGTGACACTGATGTGGATTCTCCGGACCTTCCGATATTTAAATCCTAACTTTTTCCGCTGTTTACCGAAGAGAAGTGACAATGCTTTTCATGGAGAATCTATCTAAATTAATTTGATGTAAATTTGTCGCTTGTTGAACCATTGATGCCTGGTGACATACAGAAACTTAATTTGCTGGCATGGTGCGTTGTAGTTTGCAAACGTCCTTCGACTCACGGTTACCTTAAAAGTGGTGGTGATTAGCAAGGTCCAAATCTGAGGCAAAAGTTGGTTGCAACGTTAATTTGACTGTGAATTTTGCAGGCTTATTAGTGCAGTGGTGAAATGGGTTTCACAATAGCACTTTCTGTAAATTTACATGTTGTATCTTTGCTAAGAAGCATCCATAATAAATGCTGCTGCTTACCAAAACAGGATCCATTTCGGGGGAGAAACCTATTGCTGCATATGATCATTAAGTTACAAATAGTTTTGAGTTTATAATAGAAAAACGTATCTCGAAGTGAGCTCAATCTCAGCTTCATGGTGACGGGTTAGACATTTATTTCAATCTTTAGATTTTCAGTTTTTGTCGAAAGCGTTGGCAAACTGTTTTAGCCTTAACTTGCTGATTGATTTCTCCTTTTGTATTTTTCCTTGAACGCTTATAATAATATCATGTATCGTCCCCTAAGTGATTCAACAATTTAGGTAAGTTCATTGGTGTAGCTAGAAAATTTTACTGGACAGGGCCTAGGGGGGGGGGGGGAGGCGCAGGCTGTAGCATTTTTGTGTTTTGTTAAACTACGGTTAAATTGAAACTCTGGAACTGCTATTCAACCAAAATGTGTCAAGGCTATTTAATATTTTATTTTCCTGTTGGATACATTACTATTTCAACCAATAATATTTATGGCAAGGCTTACTATTATTTTAATGGAGAAACGTTAAATTTTATTATATTTATTTTAAAACAACGGGGGAGCCTTAGAAGCTTGCTGATTTTGAACCAGCAATGATCGTTTGTTCAAGTTTTTACCCTTCTTACAAAGAAGGGTATGGATATCACTTGAAAAACCGACTATCGATCCGAGGCCCGGAGAGCCGAGTGTCATATACCATTCGACTCAGCTCGACGAGATCGGAACATGTCTGTGTGTGTGTGTGTGTGTGTACGTGTGTATGTGTGTATGTGTGTGTGTGTATGTAACGAAATGAATGCGCTCACGTTTCTCAGCAACCGCTCAACCGATTTGGACAAACTCGGCGCCAAATGATAGGTCCCATTGAACGCTATTGAACGGTTTTGGAATCGGTGAACCGGTTCCGGAGATATGGTCGGAATAAGATCCGGTGAATATGGGCCTTCACGCTGAATTTAACGGAAAACGTATTAAAACCATCATGCGACACATCAAATTACTACAGAATTCAAAAATAAGATCAATGCAAGTCGTGTTAAGTGTTCCAGACCACATTGGACACACTTGGACATGTTCCGGGTACCCCGGGGAAGTTGCTTGAATATGAATTGAATTAAAACCCATTAAATCACATTAAAATACGATGATAAGGTGATTGGTAGCCTCACCAAATAGACTACACCCGGATATATTCTGGGTACCCCCAGGTAGTGGTGTAGCGTCACTGGATGACACGGGGATGGGGGGCTTGGTCACTGATAATGACAATAAAATAAATAAACTTGAATAAGTAAGAAGGGTCTGATCACACCATAGGTGGATAAATTCGGGTTTTTATAATGAAATTACATATTGTCCGGATCTCATAAGGATTTTAAAGATTTCAAACTTAAGAAAACTATCATGTAACTATGAATTTTGTGACTAGAATTTTTTTTTCAGATCTTCTATATTTAATCATCAATTATATTTCAGACTTAGGTAAACAAATTAAATTTAATTAAATTTTAATTTAAAAAAAATCTGGCTTTGAAATATGAAAATGGCACAAAGAATACATTTAATACATTTTGGACTTAGGAAACTGTTCAAAATATTTATCAATGATTCTTATAATTCTCGATGAACATTTCAAATGGTCCTATCTGCTTTGATCGATTCTCTTCATCGACTTTCTCTTTTCATAACCACTGCTATGCAAACAGATTTCGCGCTAATTCTACCCCATAGTTTGATAAAGGAGGTTCTTATCTAGCGTCCAAAACGTCAAATACACAGGGAAAGGTATTGCAGCTGAGTTATTGACGAAAGAGAAAGTCGATGAAGAGAATCGATCAATGCAGAGAGGACCTTTTGAAATGTTTATCTAGAATTCTTATATTTCTGAAATTTAAAATAAAAACAGTTTTGAGATCCCAAACTGATACATTTTCAAGATATTAAAAAAAAAAAAAGATTTATCTGATGTAGATTGTCAGTTTAACACTCCAAACACGATGCCTTAGGTAAAATGTGTAACGGTAAAATGGAAATGGTTTTAAATCAATTGATATTGAATAAATCTTCAAATTATGAAGCAAACATTTCAAGTTTGCCGTTACACATTTACCGGAGGCATCATGTTCGGAGTGTTAAATTCTTCAATTCAAATGTAAATAAATGTTCACTACATTTGATTAATTATCATAATCCTAAGACTCAGACAAAATTGTAAGATATTAGTACATGAACATTTAAAAATAAATTGTACTTTGTTTCACCTAATCAAACATTCAAGTTTCATCAAAACTCCAAGAAATAAATATGCCTGAAAACATTCGACTATTTTATTTTCTCAATATAGAAATATATTCAATAACATGAGAGCATAGACCAGCTATGAATCTACTGGACTCCAAAATAATATCCTTATTAAAATCTTGAGAAACTTATCCATATCCTGAGACTTGCATACCTCTCACCCCAGCAGGCCTGAGTTCAATCCCAGTCGGCGCCGCCGGGATGTTCTGAGGCATAACATCTCTGATCACGCCTTCCGTCTGGCACGTCGGTAGCATTGGTGCTCAGCATGGAAAACAAGATCGACGGAAAAGGAATAAAAAAAATAGACTTGCATCATTTTTAGAAGAAATTTTTCGAGAAAAGAAAGTAAGAAAAAATTACGATTTTAAAATTTCTAAATATCTTGAATCTCGGTAATGAAGAAACCATGAAGAATCTGGTAATAGTTTAATTTTCTTCAGATTTTTATGATACCTATTAAATTTAAAATGACAAGATTGTAATGTTTGATGAAAATAAGAAATGATAGAGCATTTATCTAGAATTGTTATCGAAACCACGGGCTAACTAACTTTTAAGATAATGAAGTTTGATATAAAATCATTAAATCTTGATTTAATCCCAAATTTAACATTAATTCTAATTGAAACCCGAGCAGGAGAAAACAATTTATGAATACCATATTCAGGTAGGGGCCTCATAGCCTAGTCAGTAAAGGCACGGTATTACCAATCCGGAACGTGGGTAGATCACCTTTTCGTGGTACGTTACAGGATGAAAGATCTACCACCGATTCCTAGTCCTGACTACTTCAAACTAGGGGAACAGGATTTTTCAGTAATCCAAGGAACACATCTTAGTCCTTGTTACTTTTTATGCCTTGTTGATAGTGACAAGACTCGGCTTTGTCAACCGAGGATGATCTTGAAACAAGGCAAAAAAATGAGTTAGTTGTCTTCATCTATGTGATTTCTAATCTTCTCTTCGTTGTTCCCTAGTTTGAAGTGGTTAAGAATAGGGTTCTGATGCATGGTCATTATTGGTGTCATACCTTAATTTTGTTGCTAAGGAATCCAATTTTGTCTGACAAAGGGGCGCGCCTTTGGAGGGTGTTTCAACACTCCGAAGGGTATAAATAGCGGGACTGTGAGTGGCAACTGTAAAAAATCGAATACTTCATCATTTCTCAATAGTGATGGAGTAATACGACATGCACTAAACTAAGGACACGGGATATACTACAATAGATCAATTTACTGGTCGCAGTAGTGTTAGGTCCCGCACAGAGGAAAAAAAAATCCGGAAGCGGTGGGTTCGATTCCCAGTTCGGTCGAGGGAATCTTTTGGGTTGGAAATTTTCTCGACATCCCTGGGCATAGAGTATTATCATAGAGGTAACTCTAAGACTAGAAGGCTCAGCTCTGGTACTCTCTTCGGTCCCAAGCTAATCGATTCACCCCTCGAAACATAGGAAAATCCAATAACCCCTCATTTTATTTGTCAAACTTTCATAGCGAATCAAAACAAACATTGCTTAGTACTAGAATTTCGACTAGAATGGGGTACGTTAATCGTTTGCTTGGGATCAATAGGCTAGTCAAGTAGTGAGCCAGTTTAAAATCGTTAGTTTCGTATTGATTGTTGGTATTATTGTGCTTGCCACACAATATACAAATTCATGCATTGGTATAGGCATCGAAAGCTCTCTCAATTAACACTCCGAATACGATGCCTCCGAAAAACGTGTAACGGCAAGTTTGCAATGCCATGAATTTCAAAAATTGTGGTACCTTTAGAATTCCTAGGGTTTGTAGATGATTTTTAATTCAAAAAGATTAAAAATAAAGTCGTCTACTTTTTTAAAAAGCCAAAAGAGTTGTTACACGTTTTTTTGAAAAGCGGTGCAAGTGGCGCAAGATCTGTAATTTAGATTAATGGGCACAAATGTTCACAATTAGTCAGAAAACAGTCATGGTTCATATATATGGATCCTGGAGACAACGGAACGGTCCTCAAAAAATCCGGAACATCTGTAAAAGTGGTTAATCCATGAACCTGATCCTAGAGCTCTGCGGTTTTTTTTTTGAAAACATTAGGAACTGTGATATAAAAAAATATTTGGGGTCGTGACATAAACATGTACCTGGATGGCCATGAGACTGTCCTCCGGAAGATCCGGACATCCGTAAAAGTAGACAATCCATGTAGCTGATCCTAGAGCTCCGCGTTTTTTTAACATTAGGATCTGTGATATAAGAATGAATTTGGGTCATGGACCCACATGGCCATCGGACCGTTCAGCGGAAGATCCGGAA